GTTGAACTGGGCTGAGGGACGGATGAGGCAGCAGGCTTATCTTCACTTGTACATCTCAGCCTAAAATGGCCAGCACATTCATCACAGGGAGGAGACTGCAGAGGACTGCTGCTTTTAATGGATATTAAGAAAGCAGACTCTAGAACTGTGGCCTGGATATGGTCTGGCAGAGAGATTTTCTGCTGTCATTGAATTCACACCATTGATCATCTGAGCTCCAGCGCAACTTCACAGTGTTTGTGTGAAAGAGTCTCAGTGTGCTGTGATACATAACAATGCAGGAGAGAGGAGAACAGACCATCAATGGGCTTCTGGTGTTGTCTCTTCAGGTCTCATCTCTTCTCTTCTCATCTATCTCATCCCCTCCATCATGCCTCATCTCTTCTCTTCTCATTTCTTCCAGTCTCTTCGTATCTCCTCTTGTTTTGTCCACTCTTTTTCTTTTCCCGTCTTGTCTTCAGGTCTCCTTGATATTACTTATCACCTTTTTCCCTTTTCCTTTCCTCTCCTCTCCTCACCACTGGCCCAATCGGGCCAATAGAAAAGAAAACCTTAGCGTTCAGTCTTGAGAGGGTTGGGACAGAAAGTCTTTGCTGTTCTGTAGAGCGGTTAGGGGTCTGGTTAAAGGGACATTGAGATTTGGGGATGTTCTCTCTTATAGTTCGGGTTAAAGTCCATAGAGAACACACAGGGAGGTCTGGGCTTCTGGTTCAGCAGCTTTCAGAGAGGTTGTGCTTCATCTGTACTTTGTATGCGTTTCTGAGACACCCGTATCTCCATTCACAGCATGATGGGGGAGGAGGCTTGATACATGTCTGCAGACCACCTTAGGCATTTGAGCCTGAAACAAGTAAACTGCCATGACCTGATTTCATTCACTTTGAGCATTTATTTATTTGATCTGGGGGCTGAATGGGAAAGCAGATAGTGTCATTCTCTATGGCCTCCTATTTGCCCCTAAAGCTACTTTCCTAAGTTAACACATAAACAGACACTTGTACTTGTCTTTTTACCCAGACCCACAGCATATTTCCTGGCACGATAGTTTCGCTTCATTTTTTACTTTCAGATAGACTTTGATATCTTCTTTTGTGGCAAACACCACACAGACAACGTATTCCATGATTGCAACATAATTCCAGGTCACGGTGCCTCAGGGCAGCGATGCTTCTGTCTCTCTGCTTGCTCCCTTGGCGTCAATGCGGTAAGCTTTTCTGTCCTCAGATGTGGGTGGGAGAAAGTTTTTCGAGGCCTGAGAGCATCATCAATCAAAATGTAATGTCAGATCCACACAGCTGGGCTCCCAGGAACTATAGGAGCAGAATATGAGTTGCTGACATTTTAATTACTTTGTCATACATCTCAGACTGGTAAGCCTATTTTGAGGGTGTAATTTATGGCAGCAAATGAAAACAAATATTCTCTAAACCATCGTTCTGAAAGCCTGTTCTTGCCATGTTGATTAATGGTAATATCTCTCTAGTGGTCTGTCCAGTGCCTGAGAGAATTAGGTTCTGGACCCTTACCGGCATGCGCACATTGTTTAACATTTCAGAAGCTAGCGAATGTGTGCGCAGCCACGTCCCACTGACATGGCAGGTAAACAATATGAAAAACTCTCCGGAGAGTAATTCGTCTTCAATTATGCCAATGACTTTTTTTCCCATAGAAAAGCCATTTTCTCTTCAGTTTTCAAAACAGAGATGATAAAAAGTGATTGCCTGAGCGTATTTCAGCAAATTGATCTTTAGATTTGATTGTTTTGTATTGGAAATGGCTGGCTGGTTAAATGGTTGCTTTTTAGCCTGCCAGGCGTGCAGCCTTTCCCCAGCAAATCGAAATGGTCGTCCTTTTTGAATATTTAGATTACCTGGGGCTCCCGGGACCTTTTCTAAGTGGATTAACATTTCACGTGGCTCCCAACCTGCATCTTAATATGTTGTGGGCTGATATCAAAGAGTCCTCAGGGATCAGAAACAAGCATTCCCATTATCTTTCCTGCTGTGCTTTGTTTACCCAACCACGAGCAAGGGCCATTCATCTAGACAATTGTAATGGAATCCAAACTAGCAGGACTGATCATAAAATCACTTTATACACAGGTCCCATCGATTCCGTTCGCGGCATAACCAGGTAAGCGCTCAGGCCCCGCTCTCTCGTGTTTTACAAACCTCCTCTGGCAGTGTTACGCCGGATCACACTTGCTTCTATTAGACCCTTAAATCATCATGAAGGTGAGCTGCTTATGTACACATCAGTTCGGAGCCTCTGATGCTTGCCAAGCCATTTCAGTCTATGCATATTTAATAATTAAAAGTCCATCAAGGCGGGCCGCTCTGACCTTTTAAAGCCGGCACTGACATCTGTGAAGGGTGCCTTTATTTCCCAGATGCAGCCCAGCCCGGATTCGCAGCCAGGTGTCAGGGTGCAGACAGCGATGTAATGCATCCTCATCAGCGGCCGCCAATCTCCATCCCTCGCGAACCCCCTCCCCGCCCAAGCATCCGTGGACTTTTGATGGATCTCTTTATGCTAATCTGCACTTAATCATGAAACAGCAAAAATAGAATCAAGCTGAAACAAATCTCGCTCTAATTACACGTCAATATCGTTCGCCGCAGAAGTGCAGACAGCTCTCTTGTTCCTACTTCTGCTGTATTCATTTATTTGTCTACTTGAAAAGATCTCTGAGACTTGAAGATCTTTTGTAGGGATCTGACTTGGAAATAGGTAATGACTGTGTGGCGCTTGTACTGTAGGAAGACGCTACAGGTCCCGCAGAGCTGAAAAACTAATCATAAGTTTCAAAGCATCCAAGAGCAGTCGTGCTCTGCCTCTCAAGGGCTTCTTCGTGTGGTCACGCCTGAGCAGAAAATCTCTTAGACAGCAGTGATGTGTAATTGAGGATGTCATCAATTAATCAAAAAACGAGGGAGGGGAAAGACTATGCATGAGGAGTAGGAGTCAGGGCTGAAGATATGAAATCCATGCCTGCTTTCATCTGCGGAAATAAAAAGAAAACAATTCCATCCAGCCTACGAGTCGTGGATTATCAAAGCGGCATGTTCTCCATGGCTCAGTGCCAGTTTGAAATGGTAATTTTGCCTTAAAGAGGCACAGAGAAACTGGTACCTGAATTAATTGACAGTGATACACATCTGCCACTAAGTGTCTTTCCTGCAAACTTTGGATTGATGGATGAAGTGTGACGAGTTCTGATTGATCATTAGCGCAATAACAGCAGCTCTGATATCAGTCCACAAGTGCCTGAATCAGATAAACCCGTCTTAAAAGGTATACTTCACTCAAAAATTAACATGTTGCCATCGTTTACTCACCTTCACGAAATTCCCAGCCTTTTTCTGTTGAACACTATATTTAAAAGAAAATATTAGTTGTTTTTCCATACAATTACTGAGGCATGGAGGGCAAGAAGCAATCAAAGTATGACCAAAATGAATGCTGTAATATATTAAAACATTTCCTCTCCAGTGAGATCTTTACCACCGTGACGAACTTGAGAATCGAATCAGTCTGATTTGTTTATTGAACAAATATTTCTGTTTTTATGAAATGGATCAAATGGTTGGTTATTTAAAGTGTTCCTCTTTGTCGCCATCTCTGTTCGAAATATGCAATTGCAGTCATTCGTGGAATTATCAACTTTACATGAGTTGTACTTCAACACCCTTGACACGGCAAAGCTTGGATGAACACAATGTTTGAGGAGAGCATGAGGCTGTCCGTCACTGTGCCGGTGTCGATACTGGCTTTCAGAATCACAGATTATCTTTTTGAAATTATGACCAGCATTGAGAATTTTCAAATGCCGGAAAATGTCATCTAGTAGGAAACACTTTTGTTCTGGTTCTGACATTGCAGTACAGTAAATTGCGCTGATTAAATCATATCACACAAAACCGTGCAAATTATACTTTGTTCTCAAATTGTTAATGTTAACAATGTAAGCATTGCGTGACTACATGTAATGTCCTTCCGATATGTATCCTTGTTTTCGCATGGGTCCCGTTGCAGTCTCTTTTTTCCGTCGCCACTCCGAAGTCCGAACGAAGTCTTTTGCGTTTTACAGCAGGTGAATCTTGTCACTGGTGATTGTCGTTTGAACCTTTCTGGACCCTCCGTGAAATTGAATAAGTTTAATTATATCAAGTGCGGTGAGAAAAGGCTATAAATCTCCACCTCCAACATCCGCAAACGCAATATAGCGTATACTAGCCGAGACTCTTCTTATGTGTACAGATGTGACGTAATGACGCAAAGACATGCTCAAATCTCCCGCGGAAATCCACCAGTACCACTGGAATTAAAAACATTATTACAAGCTTACCGCTTTGTATCGAGCTAAGGCAAGCAGATTGCATTGAACACTGGCTGGTTATGTATTTTCTCAAAAAAAAAAAGCTACAGAATGCAGCTTTAAAAAAAATTCAAATCAAAAGAATATGTCGTTTCTCCTCGGAGGATCCTTCAGAAATCATTCTTATATGATGGTGCTCAGGTGATGGTGCTTTTTTGTGTGTGTGATACGTCATTTGAACTATTTTTATAATACCATCATGAGACGTCTATGCTCCTTTTGTGTCCTTTTTCAGTGAACTGTTCCTTTTCACTTTTTTCCAGTGTTTCCCAAGTCTAGGTCTAAACAAACCACTTCCTCACTTAGATACTAGCCTGTAGGTTTATTCCCACCAACAGCGGTATTTCTGTCTGTAATGACCCTTACCGCTCATTGATTCTCAGCTTGTGTCAGAATGAGGGATCAGGTGCATTGAAAACGCTCAGGGCCAGGCGTGTCCCAATCAAACCCATGGCACAATGGGTTCATGGCAAAGCTAGTTTTATGTAACCCAATGTACATAAGTTAGCACTAATTAAAATGCTGTCACTCTATTGCGATAGTGGAATTTTTAGTGTACCAGACTAATTGTCAATAATGGTTTAACATAGCTGTATTTCATTCACTTTGTTACTCTCCACAGAGCCATAACATTGGAGAACCAGCTAGTGGTGCTTGCCACCGCTGCGGCGGACGCCGGGAGGTACTACGTCCAAGCTGTTAATGAGAAGAATGGAGAAAACAAGACAAGCCCATCCATCTACCTGAATGTGGCAGGTAAGTTGAGGGGCGATGCATTTCACTAGATCGTTTCTATTACCCTGCAGCTAATGTCACATGGCCAGTCGTTGATGCAGCCGAGACAGAACTATCGACCAGACGTGGGAATTATGGCTTTCTGTTGTTCCTCTCCCTCTTTTGTTTTTGCCCACGTGTTGTTGGCACAGTTTAACACGCTAGTTTCAGAAGCACTCGCAGGCCAGCATGCAGAAGCAAGGTACCTGTAATTCCATTCCCTCAGGGGGCCGTTTAATGTGGCGCATTCATCAGAAAGGAAGGGCATCCGGGAATGACACCGAGAATCTGTTTGTTCTAGTGACACTCTTGGATTTGCTAGCTGGACGTTGTTGCTTGCTGTTGTCGTAGCTGCTTTGGCAGGTGCTACTGAGCATAGCCTGCTTTCCCAATGCTAATGCACACGTTCATTCATGCATATACAGCCACTGACAGCCTGTCAGAGGATGCTGAGCCTTCTCAAAAATGTTTTCAATATGAAAGTTGAAGTGAATTGATACAATTTATTGTTGGGAACCTACTAATGTGCATTACTCTGATTTGGTGCTGTTTTTTTTCATGCTGACAGAATACAGGCTCTTCTCATTTGTTCAGACCAATCAAACTGAATGTTCCACTGACTGTGTCAGTTGGTTCTATCCAAAAAGTGGTCAAAAAAGGAATCAAAGGAAGTAAAAATTAAATTGGCCTCCAGTAGAAAGAACCGGTCATTATCAGAGTACCCTTTCAAACCAATTAGCTCTTGACTATTGCTTCAGTGCATCACTAAGCTGAAAGACTGAACACCAAAGCCAGAAATAAATGTATCGTAATGAAGGAGCAGGGGCTAGACTAGAGGTTAGTTCATTCAAGACACA